GGGTAGTATTGGGTCATAGTCACGGCAATTCGGTGATGTTTTCGGCACCAAATCGCATATTTCCCGATAAAATATGGCAGATGGAAGTAAATAACGTCTACAAAGGTGATATTTCACAGTAATAAAGAAGTATTTGGTTCATAACTGGGTCGTATGGGGTAGTATTGGCCTATTGGGTAGTATTGGGTGGTATTGGGTAGTATTGGGTGGTATTGGGTAGTATTGGGTAATTAGACGCGCCGCTAGATATGGCTATGTAAACAAACAGACAGACAGAGAGTAGTTTTTTAACGTACACGCGCTCTCAATGACAGGGCACATATTGTAGGGAACAGTCATTATTTCGAAACTGATCTAAAATATTTGTTTGTTTATATTGTCAATATTCAGAATTTAAATTTATTACCGGTATGTGACCGGTACAGAATGGTACGGGGCTAAGCACCTTCCCTAAACCATGGGACAAACCTTTCTGTAAAAAGGAATATTCACGAGACGAATATCCCTTTTCAAATGTTTTCATAAAGTGTATAAATGCAATGACAAGTATAAAAAAGAGAAACGTTTGTGATTTTTTTTATTACATTGTACAACTCACTGTCTTTGGCCACTTTATTTCTAGACCATGCATATATATATATTTATGTATATATATACTCTCTTTTCCACTTTCACTGTCTTCATACGCTAACACTTAGTAAGTCATATAATTAGCCATCACACACAATAAACTGTAAGGCAAAACCACTACGTGTACACATAGAATATGTGTCAGATATGGAACATGTTGAGATACTTGATAATTATATGTTTTCAATATTTTACATAGATTAATCATACTCGTAAATAAACCCTTTTTATACGCCCGTCGAAAGACGGTACGTATTATGTTTTCACGCGGACAGGCGGGCAGGCGGGGTACACATTAGTTTCCGCTCAATAACTTGAGTAATTTTGAATGGATTAATTTCAAACTTAACAGGAAGGTTTATTGCCATGAAAGCTCAGACAAGTTCGATAACCGCCATTATCCGACCATAATTTGTGGAGTTATGCCCCTTTATGGACTTGCCGAAACAGTGTCCGCTCGATATCTCGAGTAATTATTAACGGATTAACTTCAAACTTCACAACAAGGTTAATTACCATGAAAGCTCGGACAAGTTCGATAACCGCCATTATCCGACCGTACTTTTTGGAGTTATTACCCTTGGTTTCATTAATGCGATGCATGCGTTCCATGATGTTGTATTGCACTCATTGATCTACCAGTTATGTTGAATGATTTCTCTTTTAATATCAATTACTCACAAATACTTCATATATTTCAATCATACAAACAACTGCTCATTCAATGTGTGGCGGGCGTATTATATACCGCCCGCGGTAACCTTGTTTATTGATTTGGTACCGAGTACAAATAGCATGTGCCGAGTAGCTTTTGGGTACCTGGTACTTACCTATACATTTAATCACTAGGCACAGTGCCTTGTTGGTTGATTTTTTTTTATCCGAGGCCTGCAATAATTATAAGGACCAGTGCTATATGATATCAGGAAAGTAGCATGCTTTGATGAAGGGTTACTAAGTATGTTCAAATTAATGATCTTGACCTACATGTACTATCATGGTCACTTGGGTCAAATGATTAAACAATCTTCAGCCAACTTCTCCTGAATTACTAAAAGTATAAGGGTGATGATATTTGGCCAATGGCCTGAGGGATGATGAAGGGCTACCAACTTTGTTCAAATTGATGTCCTGAACTTACTTTCAAGGTCACTGGTGTTAAATGATTGGGAAAAAAGGTAAAAAAATCTTTAAACAACTTATAATTATGATGAATAACCAAAAGAGCCAGAGTGATGATATTTGGCCAGTAGCATACTGGGAGGAATGACTCTTAAGTTTGTTTAAATTAATGACCTTGACCTACTTTCAAGGTCAATGGATTAAGTTGTTAGCTCACCTGGCCCAAAGGGCCAAGTGAGCTTATCCCATGGTGCAGCGTTTGTCGTCCGGCGTCCGTCAACTTTTTCCTTTAAAATGCTACTTGTCCTGAAAGGCTCAGAGGATTTTGACCAAATTTGGTCAGGAGCATCATTGGCCAAAGGGTTCTCAGTTTTGTATAAACGGAGGGTATAACCCCCCTGGGGGCAGAGGGGCGGGGCCAAATAGGGGGAGTATAGGTAAATCTTTA